CATGATCGGAATGAGAATATTACCCTGTCTTGTCCATCCCCACAAGCAGGGATCTAATCTACGCTGAAGCCACACCTGGATTTGATATTACGCTCGTCGTTTACAGTGCTGAAGCAAGGCAGGAGATGTTGGTGGGAGACATTCTAGGGGCGTTTCCTTTTTTGCCTTTGCTAAGTTTGTAGAAAACAAATTGTATCTGAAAGTCCCGAGAGAAGAAGACTGTTCTTTGTCTTTGTATAGTGCGAGAGTAATCGTCTCTGCACATTGCAGCAATTCGTCTTCCAAGCAGTCCGGCTCGTAAAACTTCAGCGCCAGCGCTCTAATGCTGTCGTTCTGCAGCAGCAACTTCACCAGCTTCATCTTCCCTTTCCCAAAAAAGCAGTAGTGTCGCAGCCCGCAAAGGCATGAACAAAAAGTAGAAATGGTTGCAAATGTTTGTGATCCCGAGTATCGTACAATTGGTTCGCCTTGCCCCCTTGGCCCATCTTGTAATAGTACATGCTCTCTGAGGTTGGAGTGAGTCCAATAAGTAATATTAAGAGATCAACATCCGGGCCGACGACTCGTGATTTCCCGTGACGAAACAATTCGTTATGAGTCTTCAGAGCTGTTCTCACAATCTCAACATCCGCATCCTCTTTCGCATGTATCACGGTAAAACTGAATCCCTCATATGTTGCAAGAGTTTGACCAAGGTGATAAACAAATTGAGCCTTGTTTTTCACGTTGGACAAAAATGTCCTTTGGTTCAATGGGACGAGATTGTCTGGTTCAATTTCAACGTCCACACCACACAATTCTTTATTGTCTACGGTCTCGCTCGTATGATTTGACACCTATATGTTCATCTTCATATCCGTCGAAAACAATAATGACGCTCCGACCAAACCGCTGAACAAGAAAGTTCTTGTACATATCAAAGATTGCACGGTACGTACTTACTATGAGGCCAGACGAGGCTGTGAAGCAACCATCCTCCGTCTACAACAAACTGAGAATCTTCGAAAAATGCTCGTGAGGATAGGGTAGTAGTGAACATTTTATATAACTGTGACTTGACGGTCTTTCGCATTGATCCGTTCTCGTCGAACAAACTAAGTGGAACAGGAGACATTTCGTAGTCGAAGCAAGATTTACTGAACTCTTTCCTTCCACGCATAGCCACAGACAGACGTTGAAATAATAGAGAGGTATCAACAGTAACAGTGGAAGACATAGCTTTTTGAGATTGTGTCCGTGCAAAGTCCAAATTCTTGATCTTGTACAATTTTGACAGCGACACCTTTTCATAAGTGCGTCCAACTATATGACCCATTGCTTGTGTGCTACGCTCGAAAGCCATATGACAATTTATTTCCACACCATCAACAACTCCAGTTGACAGCGAAATTAATTCCTCGCGGACTTTGAATGGTTCATGCCGCTTCAACCCAAGTAACGAATGAGGGCAATGTCCTTTGCGTCCCATGCTTTCGTCCTTTGCCCAAATCAACATGCTGCTCACGTTCTCGTCTTCAGGTTACAATACTCTTCCAATGCTTGCATCAATGCACGGGCAAGGCATCCCCAGCAAATATCGAGACCGACCACTCCGCGTAACACCTCTCCGTGTTTCAGTCAGTCCCAAAAACCTATTCAATGTCTGCTCGATTGTCATGTCACTCCAGATTCCGGACCAAGCCTTATCCGACCCTGTGGATAGTGAAATAACCCTGCGTGGCAAACTGGATCCATGATGTCCTGTAGAAGTACCATATCCTGCAAATAAATCTGAGCTGCTTTTGCATATTGAAAATATCCGCGGCATGAAACAATGGCAACATTCTTCCAACGCAATCAAGATGAAGGTCCAGTTTCCAAGACGTTCTGCTTCAATAAAACGCAAGACAATAAGCACGGCTTCAATGTACTGCACCCACAACTTGGCTGTTGGGCCGTTATTTTTCAATTGCTTCAACTTTGTATACAACAAATCAGACATTTTCTTCAGGTCCTTATCAGAGTCACTGTCCTCTAGCTTGAGAGGATTTTTCTGCCAGGCACGCATCAATGATGCGATAACCCCTTTGATCTCGCCTTTTTCTTCGATTGAATCACAAATTACGATGCCTAAAGCTGTAAACGTCAAAATGTGTGCTCCGACTGCTCTTGAATAATTGTGCCCGTCCATCATTTTCTTTATGGATTCACTAGCGTAAGCAAGCTCCCACATAGATTCAAGTCCGCTTCCTCCCATGATAATACTATTGCTCCCAAAAAATACATTAACATGTGGAATCCGCCTAAGCGAACAAAAACGTCGGGCAACATTAACTTCGCTATAATATCGCGACATTTCATGTACAACGGCAAGTCGTAAGTTAAGATAGTGGTTTTTTGACCACATTTACGGGTTTCGCTCTTTGCATGCATAATTGATGTATAAATGGTTGTTAGACTAGATGGAACTTCGTTAATGAATTGTTGGCATTGCACCCCCGACCTTTGGAAACTTTCATTTTCCGAACATATCTCCATGAAACCTCGCCATGCTGGTACATTCTCAGGATCAACGTATTTAGCCCACAAATAAGTTGAGTAAGTAGGGGGAATAGAGGCATGTCGACCATGGTCAGTAAATTTGTATCGATGAATTCTATAAGTTTCAAGCCCTCTTTTGGCGGCTCGACGTAAGGAAGATTGGAATTTGTTCTTGCTTTGCAAGGATATTTGCGGAAGGCATCTCAGTAAGTTTTTCGACACTTCCACATTGTGTGATTTCGTGCTCCGGAGTGTAAACCTGTATTCCGCCTAAACAATGGAAAGTCTCCCGTCCGTCCAGGGTCCTGACGTTGTGGTCAGTATTATCAAATACAAATTGTACGAAAGGTTTTCGATGCTCAATCTGGGTGGATTCACTATTGTTGAAGCCTCATACAATTCAATATTGTAGTAAGAAGTGCAAACGTCTAATGCATGCAGAAGATTTATGATGTACTTGGAACATGTTTTTCTCAGAATCAATGTCCCAATCGACAAGTGGAGGGTGGACAAAAACGTACGTGGCTGAATGAATGAACGTATGCATTGAGATATCATATCTCGCTTCACAGACTTTGCTTTTTTATCTTCCTCTTCGTCAGCGATAAGGAGAAAGTGCTCAATAAAGAACGAAAAGTGGGGTGGATAATCGCAGGAAAGATCGCTTACAAATTGATTGGACGGTGGGTACTTATGTCTTACAAATTGCTTGCTACGAATCTCTCTGTGCATTATATTTGAGGCCTGAAGCAAAATAACTTGTATCTGCCCTTTTGTGAAAGTTGATGGGTCTGCTGACACATTAAAAACATGATGACTTTTGAATCATACACGTATATCTTTTCCCCCCATTATACTGCACTCAACTTCCTCACCGTAACGTTTTTTAATGTGATCTGCTACAGTCCTTCTATCTATAGAGTCATCATCCACAAGTTCTACTAACTTCGACAAATAATGAATAACATTTTGTCTTCTTCAAGAACTTGCCACACAGGTTCTAACAATGAATCGATTCTAGACCTGTTTAGATCATCGATATTTTTTTTAAACCATACGCATTGAAATGAGACATGCATGTCCGGTGGTATCTGCGTTGTACGCGAATTAAGCAAGAAATGTTCTCTAATCTTTCAACAACGCTAATTCCCAAAGAGTCATTTCTTTCCTTTCCCATTGCAATCAAGTTATCACGCGTCTCTTTTTGTGTGACTGTACAGATTTATGTTTTCGCATCTTTTATTATACTCAAACCACAAATGAAGCAATTATCCGCGTAATGGAAATCAGGAACCTCATCCCTTGCAGCTACGACATTGTTATTTGGTGCATTCAACGCAAATGCTGAGTATACGTTCCACCTGACCGAGTATGAAAGTCTACACTTCTCATGGCACAGTCCAGTTTTTCCTTTTTTTTCCCAATCCAACCATTTTTTGTCTTCCGCGCGTTTGCTCTGTGTGATCAGTGTACTAATTCCCTTCTTCCCCACGATCCTGCAATTGCCGCGCGCCAACGGATAACTGCAAATGGCGCAGTTACTATTTTGCTGCATTTTATTCCTATTGAATAACAGAAACAATTTCAGTGAGAATCGGTATCCAGTAAGTGTAATGCAATTTTCGATCCAGTCAGTCTAATTTGTCTGATTTTTGTTATTAATATCAGAACATATTGCTAATGGAATTCCAAGACATGCTGAATTTTGGACCTGAATTTGGACTGCACTACTTATTATTACAAAATACTATACTAACATTGGAAAAATGAAAATAAATTTCGTTAAAAAATCCATGCGGATAACTTTTCGAATTTTAGGTTGGCTTTGTCCTTAATTCCTTGTCTCCAATGAAATTACGGAAAAAAATATTTAATTTCAATTCTAAAATGTACACATACTTACCTCACTTATCCAGTCAATCGACAAGCAATTGAAGAGAAATTACTCCACATACTTAAACGCATAAACTTCGAAAATTAGTTCTTTCGTAAAAGTCCTTGAACGCCAAACTGACAAGCGAGCTCAGGGTTCGAAATTCAACTCTACTATTACTGAATAACCCCTACCATATATAGTTTGGCAAACGGATCTGCAACATCGGGGTATCGGTGAGGGGAAAGCAAAACATGGCTGGTTTCATTCATAAAATGCCAGCGGCGTGCGGTATTTTATAAAAGTTTGGGATTATTTCATAATTGGTTTAAAATTTAGTAAACTATACGTTTATGTTTCACTTTAAATTTGGGGAGTATCTCAATAAGCCCACAATGATATGGAGCATTGTCCATAATAATAAATAAAGTCTCGGGTAAACTCAAAATAGCTGTTCTCTACAATCTACACCATGTAAAAAAATACTTGAGTTTGTTTCTACACTTCAACAAACGGAAAAATGTCTACTCACTTCCCAAAATTGCCACAATTCAAAAATCATGATATCTGCGCGATTTAAAACCTAAATCAAGCTAGCGTTTTGTCAAAGCCGTAAATAAAATATATTTTTCAAATACAAATAGATACTTAACGTGGTTTTTTACCTTGAGAATTATATATATATATATATATATATATATATATACAGGGTTGACTTTGAAGTTGAGTCATTAATTTTCAGATAATGATTGTAGAAGGAAGATAAACCAAAATATATGTGTAAAAATAAAAAAATAAAAAAAAAATTTTTACCTTGTTTTATAAAGTATCCTCCCGACAAGTATTTCAGTGCGGACCTGTATTTGATCGTGAGGTCCCCTGGGAGGTCTTAAGTCACCTGATTCACGAGCCCGTTGTACTACATTAACAAAGGCACGAGGGGTTGGTTGCACTCGATTGGAAACCGATCCGCATAAACATGTGCCATTTTTTATTTCGTTTGAGCCACGCAACAGACACCCACTATTTATATATATATATTATACATCCGTGATCTTATAATATGCTCATTTACTTTAAAAGTGCCAGAAGCCGAAACATGACCAGAATTAATTTTTATTTTATAATCCGCATCTTTCTGGATTCCTATTGTTGCAATTTTGGACTGTTGATGTGGATATTTCTAGAGCATCGATGTCGCTTAAAGAGAAACAAAGAACTTTAAACATATTTCATATCCGTTTAACTTATAACCTCTGTAATAAATAATACTTACATTATACAGCATTTCAAATTACATTTCACCTATTGAATTAGCATTGGTGTTCGTCAACTTCATCATTATCATCATCGTCACTGTCGTCATCAGTTTCGCTGTCGTCATCTTGCCCTATAGTTATTATAACTGGTTCCATTTCCTCCATAAATTGATCATTTTCCCAAAATTTATCTTCAATGTCCCTAGCATGTTGACAAATTTCTGCCAATCATTAATGGACATCGCTTCCTGAGTAACTTCTTCAGTGCGGTTAAACTGAAGTTTCCAGTGGTATTGCGGCTTCTTATATGAAATTTAAGCTTTGCCCAAGCTAATTCTATTGGGTTTAGCTCGCATAAATAAGGAGGTGTTCTTAGAGGAGTATGTCCATGTGATCTTATGATCCGATCAACTACATAATTTTTTTGGTTGTCAGGGGGCTTATGAAGTAAGACCAGATCGAACAAGTCAAATTTTCTGGCAGTTGCCTCATGATTTATGCCTATAAAATATTTTATTGTATAGTTTGATATGTACATGCATGTTTTGAGTCATAAGTACCTTTCTTTGTCAACCAGGCCATTATATCTTTTTTCGAAGATGATTTTGTCGGGGTTTTATCTTCCTGGACGGAATGATATGGAGCATTGTCAAATACTATAACCGAATTGGCAGGTATATTCGGGAGGAGTTTTTCTGTGAGCCAGCGTGTGAAATTTTCCCGATTCATCTGACCGTGGTAATCGCCTGTAGCTAATCCCGCCTTAAATATCAAACAGGCATTGTCAACAAATCCATTTTCTGAACCTGCATGGACTATAATGAGTCGACCTAAAATATACAAGACGATTATATAATATGTTACAAATCAGAGTTAAATTTAACATATATAGCATTTTTGCTTACCTGTAGAACCTATACTGCTTATTACACCAGAAACAGTTTCGCTCTGCCAGCATTTTTTGAAAGTCAAGTCATTGTCCACCCAGGTTTCGTCCAAATAAACAATGTTGCGCCCTTCTTCACGATATCTACGTATTTCACGGATGTATTTGTACCTCCATTGCAATATATTAGGCCTCTCCATCAAAACTTTTCTTTTATTTTGACATTTGCGCCAAAAAAAACCATTTGATTTTAATAAACTCCTGAGTGTTTCCCTGCAATAGGGGAAATTTGAGTCTTCTCGCAACTTTTGTAATAACTTCCTAGTTGTCGGGACAACTTTATATTCAAGATAAAATCTGTTTATCAAATGTCTAATAATCTGAAAATCAAAATTTTCATCTTTCTCAACAAGAGACTGACGCGGTCTTTTTTTTCCGGGACTGGATAACATTTTATTCGGGTTATTTTCTAGTCTTTCTTTATCTTCGTTATGAATTTTCCTAACAGAAGATAGTCCGACTCCGGTATAAAGGGACACCCTATCAAGCTTACGTTTAAGCGGCAACTTGAGGGAATTGTTTGCCGCTTCCTCATCGCAAACCCTATAAATAATCATCAGAATGTTAGCTTAGCATTTCCTTGTTTTTATTTATATTCAGACTCAGTAGTCAAAAACTACAATTATTGCATATTATTATTACTAACCTATAAACATTCGCAATCACTTCTCTTGTTGGCTATGAAGCGTCTTTCCGCGAGTAAATTGGTTCATTTTAAAAAATAATACTAAAACGAATAACAATAACAAATAACAAAACACTAAACTATTCAAAACACACAGCACTCAACATACAAACTTAATAGAACAGAACAATAATAGTTGTAAAACTCGACAATCAACGGAGATAAAACCTACGCCACTGGACTTTTCAATAGTATGGATATTCTAAGAAAGGAGCAAAAACTTGTCTGGGACGGTACCCAATAGGGAGTCGAATTTTCTCATGGCGACAAAACATGTGAGGATATCCGCCAATCAGATTTGTTTAGGCGGTGTCCAATATACCTTTCGGGTGGTTGTTGCCAGCTCAACCGATGTCGATAAGATCTTTGGAAAAATGTTTACTTATAATACGATTCAGTAGTAAAAAATAGTTATTAAATACAAATAGAGCTAACAACCCATTAAAATACTCAGTATTTTGAATTATTATTTTTGGAATTGTGAAAAATCGATTTTCAAATCATTGAAATTACTTTTATTATTATTATTGCTTTTTTAGTTAAATTTGGCAATATCGAATATTTTCGGTCGCATTCCTTTCGCTGTTGCAGATCCGTTTGCCAAACTTTAGTAAGTGATCGTCTGCGTCGTCAACGCGTAGGCGGTGTGGCGGCAGCTTGGTGGTATGCAGGTACGCCGCCTCTGTCCCCGCCATCAGCAAGCTGTAGCGCGAAAACTAAGCAATTTAGCGAAACATTTATAGAGTTCTTTATTGATGGCCCAAAAATTAGAAAAATTTACGTGTAAAAAAATCCCATAAATCCTCAGCCGTTTCAGCGAAAAAGAGGTTTTTCGCTGATTTACCAAAAACGGCTGGTTTCCGGAAAACCAAATTCATACAACAATATTCGCAATCCTTTATTACACCATTACGCCAGCGGAAATAACTTTGTGGCTATGTTATCACTTTTGTCTCAGTTTCGGCTATTTAACTGGGCTAAAAATGCAACCTCATATGTGAAGAGCTTCTAAATCAGTTTTTACACGAATTTTACCTGCTGTTTACTTTTGCCAGTCCAAGCGGCGCAGCGGGCATACGGATTATGAAATGGCGTATTCATTTAATTTGGTGTCCCTTTTTTGTTGGATATATTAATTTCCTGACGTTTCGGTTGCCTCGACAGCCTGTGTCACAGTCAAATTTTCACAAATAATTTTATGGAATTGAACATTTTAGCTCCTTCCTGTGAAAGACTTTTTACTTCCCACGCCGTTGGCGAGAAGGTACTTTAATTTGAGGAAATTTTCGAAAATGAGATATTCTGATTTTGATGCGTGTGAAGCTGAAAAGCTGGCTCTATAATCGTACGCGCAACTACGAGTAGATTGCAACGAACCGAATAAATGTCTGCCTGCGATCAGTGTTGCCGGAGCCACCATTGAAAATTCCGCTACTGGTATAAAAAAACTCCCTTACTTTCCGGTACCTTGTGGATTATCGTGTGGTGGTGAGGAGGTAGAGGCGTACTATCATAAAAGAGGGCGACATTTATAATACAAGTTGTCAAATAAAAAAGAAAACAAAACTAAACAAAATTCTATAATAATAAATAACTAAACAACAGAATATAAAAGAACATGAAACTATAAAAAGCATTTGTACTATAAACAGCGTGATAAAATATAACAAAACTGTAATTAAAAACATTCCACTGTAAAAACCAATACAATATTACAAATAACTCAAACAACGGAACATTTATTACGCAGTCATATTAAAGAAATATCACTCGAAACGCGGACAAAGTTGAAGGTAAAA